CTTGCTTCATATCCACTAGCTACATCTGTTGCCAAGTTAATTTCAGTCCTAATGGGGTTTCATCTCCCACTCATCTTTGCTTTTCTCAGTGTAAGCTCTGCAATTTGATTAACTTTTCCATTATCTCTCATTGTACTCTATATGAAGGAAAGTTTTGTGTTCATCCTATAATTCTCTCCGATTTTATGTAGTACGTAAGTGTCGTCCACTAATTAATTACACTTTGTGATTTGATTTTAATTAGAGTTCGAATTAATGTTGCAGCTAGCAGCACTGGCACTGGCAAACCATGCTGCTCAACCAGCACCTCAACTTTACTGGAACTCCGTCCTGCCAAACACACAGATGCCAAGAGCTATCAGTGAACTTCTTCATCCTGGTTTGTGTTAAGCACTTTAGAATTTTCTACCTGCCATTTTACTAAAATTTAAGAACATACATAGAGTAATTATAGTATGGTACTAGAGTACGTACGGCACATATTCACAAATGTACTCACTCTTCAATCGGCTGATCACTTATTTTCCATTATGACGTTGATATATAATTTGCAGACTCCACAAATGAAGAAAAGAGCACAAATATCATGAATGCTGTTGGGAATGGAAAGCCAACTGACCACAAGGTCAAGCCTGATGATATATTCGTGCAAGAAAGCAGAATCAACTATGGAGGTCCTTCTCCGTCTGACAAGCCTGATGATATATTCTTGCCAGCAACCAGAATCATCTATGGTCCTCCTCCATCTGACAATCAACTCCATTATAAAAACGTAGCTATTTTCTTCTTGGAGAAGGACATGCGCCCTGGCGCAACAATGAACTTCCAATTCCCTAGAAATTCAAACACGGCTACTTTCCTGCCACGCGAAAGTGCTCAATCGATCCCCTTCTCCTCTAACAAACTATCAGAAATTTTCAACCATTTTTCAGTGAAGCCAACATCTGTGGAAGCCAAAACAATTAAGAAAACAATCGAAGAGTGTGAAGCTCCAGGCATTAAGGGAGAGGAAAAATATTGCGCCACATCTTTAGAATCAATGGTTGATTTTAGCACTTCGAAGCTTAGAACAAGAAACGTTCAAGCAATCCCGACGGAGGTATTGGAAAAAGGAGCCACCATGTCCATGCACAAGTATACAACAATGCCGGGACTGAAGAAGTTGGCAGGTGACAAAGTCGTTGTGTGTCATAAGCAGAACTATCCCTATGCTGTGTTTTTCTGCCATGCAATAAAACAAACAGCAGCTTATGTTCTCTCCCTGAAAGGCGATGATGGGGAGAAGGTTAAAGCAGTAACCATCTGCCATCTAGACACATCAGAATGGAACCCAAAGCATTTGGCCTTCCAAATCCTCAAAGTTAAGCCCGGAACCATTCCCATCTGCCATTTCCTTCCCACTGATCAGATTGTCTGGGTTCCGAACCACAAAACTGCATGATCATCACTTAGCACCGTACGTATAATAAGCTTGCAACCCTGTATAATTATCTCCCTACTTATTTCTGCCTCTTCATGTGGTGTAAGATATATGATGAGAGTTTTTGGGATTAGTGATCGGGTTGCCTAAAAAACACAGATTACAGAAACTGCTTGAAATTAACCCGATCATGTTTTCTCTTGTAACTATGTAGACTTCAACTTGTACTCATAAAGCATGCTATATTTATGAAGAGATATTAATCTATATATATTTTTTATACATGCTTTGGCTTTGGGTGTTGAATTGTTACGTTTGGAATGGGCTGCTAATGCATGTAGTTAGAGAAGCCTTCATTTATATCAAAGTCCTCAAACTATCAAGAATTAATGTATCCAGAAACATACCAAGACGCAAAACAACATATTTTCCATGCTCTGTCTGTAACACCAAAGCAAACTTCCTTTATCACATCATTTAAAGGATCAAATTCCAGTACTAAGTCTAAATTCTATGTTACATAAATTTGAGAGAACCATAAATATATAACCTAAAGTAGCACCACGTAGTACAGTAGTACCACGTGGCACTGAGAGCTTGGTACTACGAACTAATGATAAATTCTATGTTACATAAATTTGAATTAATGCTTTTTCCTTTGTTTTGTTTTTGGTCCAAAATACTATACTATATTTGGTATTTCCTACTATACTATTTAAGTTTGCAAACTCATATGGCATATGCAAACACAATTAGAAATGCTACAACAGAAGCAAGATCAATCTCACTATATGCCTTCTAAACAAACAAACAAACAAATAAAACAAGCATATTAATTGCTTTAATCACTCTACTAACATCAACACAGCACACTTAGTTTACTAACAGATAATACAGAAAGGAAAAAAAAGGACCAATAGGGGAGAAAATCGTGAACTAAGGAGAGACTAATACTTCTGGTTCTTAGAATGCATAACAGAAATAATAGAGCACACTGCTTGAATGCAAGTCAGTATTAGGAGCAAAACAGCTGCACTGACAGAAATAGTTGCCCAAGGTGTATTGAAATAATGTTGCGTCAAATTTGCCTTCCATTTGTTCCAAGGCTTTCTGCAGTAGCTATTGAGGCGCTCAGAAAGAGTAGCAAAGTAGAAGCTTT